TTTTTTTTGTCATTCTATTAATGATCTGAAGTTATCAGGGACAATATATTGGAACCTTGTAAACTCTTGCCCTGCTCTGTGCTTCACTCCTCATTTCATCTTCCCTCTCCCTAATTAATATTGTCAAGGACAAAAGCTTGTTCTTTATGTACATTTTTTTTCTTTAATACACACAACTTGTTAATGGAAAGATAATGTATCAACTTTTAACTTTTTCTGTTCTCTTCTTTCCTTACAGGTGATGACAGCATAACCCAAACAATAATGGCAATCCAGTTACGAGTCATCATCGAAGAAGATGATATAAGAAAGTTGGTGCTTCCATCAGGAATTCCTGATACAGTGGAGGAGCTTATTTCAATCATTTCTGAAACATTCCAGTTACAGTCGGAATTAGGGCTGTTATATGAAGACAAAGATTTTGGCAACCAATTTTTCAGTGTCACGTCAACTGCTGATTTGCATGACAAGGCCACAGTGAAAGTGATAAAAAAAGAGCCGATGATCTTCCTCGATATGCATCCCTTAGATGAATCAGGATTATCCTCTTCTAGTTCAGCAGACGTCTACCTTGCAGATGATGAAGGACCCCCAGATATAGATGGCAGCACATCATGCAGCTCACAGGATACTATTATTCTTCCAATGTCATTCCGCTCTGCTCAATGGCCAGTGCCATTTCAGGTCCCTCAGTTTTCTCGTGATATTGAAATCATCCTTGTAGAAGCAAACAAGTTATATCATGACTCTGGAACACTCTTCAGAGATCCAAGTGTTAAATCTGCAATAATGCATGACCTGGCCAATGTCATATTCTCCTATACAGCCTACCCTTCAAGCCAGCAAATACTGACAGTGGCTGAAGCTCTTGTTGAAAAGTTCCCCTGTCTTAAGGAGCCTGCAGGGCTGTATGGCTGGCAGCAGCGAATCAAGTACAAGATGCATAATCACCGTGCCAAGCTGAGAACACGGAAGTATGCCTATCCTGAAATTGAAGTAAACACATTAAAGCGAAAGCTACAAATTGATGCAACCCCAGCAAAAAATGTAAAGAAGGCAAAGAAAGCTGAGGTTAATTATCTCCCTCCACATCCTATTGGGGAAAACCAAGACACATTGGAGAAGGGGAGACTGGAATTAATCAATGAGGTGCAAAAGAAGAACAATGCAAAAATAATCACAGAAAAAATGTCGAAAACCTTTTCAAGTCGAAGACTGGAGGTGGTGACTCTCAATCCAGCTATCAGTGTCTTAAAAGAGAGGTGGCCTGCATTCACTGAGCTTCAGGTAAAACTATTTGGATTTTTTTTTTTTTTCAAACAAAACAAATGTACAGAAACATTTGTCTTCTTAACAGTTGAAAGTTTTTTCTGTTGTTCATTTACTAATTTACTAGGTCAAAGAAGAGTTCCGTCGTATCACAACGGTTTCTCTGGAAGACACGTTCATGCGGAAACTTGATGCTTACACACCGCGTCTCCTGCAGCTGATGCGTGCCAAAGGAGGAGCTGTTGGTTCCAGGATGCATCCCCTTCTGGACACTGTTAATGAGGTATATTATTACATAATTTTGTTCACACAAATGCAGTGCAAGGGTGTGGAAGTGAAGCAAAGTTTGTATACACTGAAGCAATTTTAAAAAATGTATCTACTCGACACACTAGTTTGGCAAGTTGGTCAGGACCTCTCCTTTTTTGTGCAGTGCTGAGGTGATTTGATGTAATCAATGTCATCAATTACTTCAATGTGTTGATTTCTATTATGTGCAAAGGAGCAATGCCTTGCAAAATCTATACCACAGACACATTAGGACTGTTTCACACTGGGTTCTCGGGAAAGTTTCTGGGCACACTTGCCCCGGGGCAGCAGTTTCTCCCGCTCCCTAATCCCCCGCAGGTTTGTGTTCACACTGGTATAATCCTTCTGTTCCCGGGAACACTTTGTTACCATAACAACTGATACATCCACCTGTTAGTGTGGATGTTTTTATTGAAAATTCCAAATAAAAGTTCAATTTATTACCATAACCATCGTCTTTTATTGTTTTTAAGGTAGATTCAATGCACGTCTATCTGTGGATGTGTGTGTGTGTGTGTGTGGGAGCGAGAAATGCACACAGGGCTTACTCTCGCCCGATGCGAGTTTCTTTGTCTGGCTGCACTGACATTAGTTTGCTCTTTGATCAGATCAGGCGCTGTAACTATTTTTAATATGTTATTTGTTAACCTCATATCATTACAAACCATTATCTGACTGCAGCTCACGGTGAGTGACGTGTGTAACAAGGTGTTAAATGTCACACGCTGTCCGAAAAGTCCAACCTTCCATGCCCTGAAATGTTTCCCAGACCACCTCTGCAAGTGTTCCCGAGAACCAACCGTTTCCCGGGCCAAGTGTGCTCGAAAACATTTCCAGGAACCCAGTGTGAAACGGCCCTAAATAAATTAATTGTATTGTATAAATTATTTTTTTCATCATATAGATTAAAACCTGATAGATGAGTGATATTTTGGGTTATCTTGTCAGTAAGATGCATTTCCTTACAGTCCCAGAGCGTTGAGAAAAAAAGGGATACTGTTGTCTGTTGCCTCATTGAATACCTTGGGGAACACCAGGAGGACCTCTTCCAAGATTGCCAAGTATGTTTTTAAATGTTAAGTTCTCTCCTCTTTCTCCTCTCATCTTCTATCTCTTGTCTGCTCATTATCTTTCTCTTCTTTCATCTCCTCTTTCTCCTCTATTCATTCTTTATGTCTTCCCTCCTTTCCTTTTATTATCACTTATTTCTACTCCTTATTTTTCTCCTCTCCCATTATTTTCCTTTTCCTTGCCCCTTATTAACCCTTATCGTTAAACACTGATTTTAACCAGTTTTTTAAATACTTGTTTAATAATTTGATGAATCAAACTAAATTGCTGATTAAAAATCAGCTTGTGTAAAAATGTATTCCTTGACCAATTGAAATGTATTGGAATGTCATCTTTTTATTATCTGTAGATTAAAATGTATGTGCTTTATCTGTTTTTATCTAGTATGATGAACTGGAGGGCCCCATGGATCAAGCCATGAAGGTGCTTGTTGTCCACAATCCCATGGCTGATCACAATCCAGCAGAAGTGAGAATTGTGATCGAGGGTAACCAAGTGCTGAGCAGGTGTGGAAACCGAACCCGTGCATGCATGCTGTTGATGGGATTAATCTATGCCCTCAACCTAGAGTATCCCAAGATGCTAAAGAACACCTTTGAAGTATTCCAAAAACTTTTGCTAGAGCTTGATGGAGCAAAGATACTCAAAAAGGTCCAAACCCTTAAAAACAAACTAATGGAGTGAACCGTTTGCATACTGTGGAAAAAAAGTCTGAATTTTGTTTTTATAAAACATTTTTTGATTTTTATATTTTACATTTAATTTACATTTATATTTTTATTTTATTTTTGACTATTTTTGAGTACTTTAACTTTAATGTCATGTTGATGATATGAATAGATCATATTGTGACAGTGTTTTGTGATCCAGTTGTGCAGAGCTTTGCACATTGTTCTTGTTATTGATCTATAATTGGATATGCACTTTTGAAGCCATTGACATCCTATACAATTGTATGTCCTATAGCAATGGGATAATAGTTGATCAGAAACATTTGTTCTTAATGAAACAGAAGTTCTTAATGACCTCAACAACACAAAATTGCACAGTATTGTTCAAGAAACTGCCACATTGAAGTTGTTAACCTCCTCATCTTATTGCCTTCCCTCTCACCTCTTTGTGCAATGGTTTATGAAGGGACAGTTTTTTCCAAAGTCAAATGTATATTTGTCTTCTGTCTGGTGCTCAAAGCAGCATCCAAACATTAAAAACGGTTGTATCTTTGTACAAAAAAATGCATTTTTAGATACCTCAAGTGAGTCAGGTGTTCAGAGATGAGGGCTGTGAGTGTGGAGATGAAATGTTCTGCATTTTAAGTGTTAAGATTTTAGTAAAAAACATGTTTTAATGAAGTTGATCTCAGCATTGTCTTCTGTCTGTTAAATGTCTTGAACCTCTTCTGAATAATGGTTAAAGGTATTGATTTATTATTATTATGTACTTTGGTAAATTGCCTGCTAAAATAATATTATTAATAATATATTTTTAGTTAATAAGTTGATTGTTTATTAGCTTTTGAGTTTAGGTACTCTTTAACTAAAAAATTGGGTTAAAATTTGCCTTAAAAATGGGGCTAAAAATGTTCCCAAAGAAGGGGATAAAATTTACCCCAACTATAGGGATAACATTTACCCCAAAGAAGGGGATAAAATTTACCCCAACTATAGGGATAACATTTACCCCATAGAAGGGGATAAGATTTACCCCAACTATAGGGATAACATTTACCCCATAGAAGGGGATAAGATTTACCCCAACTATAGGGATAACATTTACCCCAAAGAAGGGGATAAGATTTACCTGAAAAAATTTAATGCTGTCTACCTGTCTACTTGTCTGCCTGTCTACCTGTCTTCTTGTCTACCTGTGTACTTGTCTACCTGTCTACCCGTCTACCTGCCTGTCTACCCATCTACCTGTCTTCTTGTCTACCTGTCTACCCGTCTACCTGTCTTCTTGTCTGCCTGTCTACCCATCTACCTGTCTTCTTGTCTACCTGTCTAATTGTCTGCCTGTCTACCCGTCTACCTGTCTCTGGACCTGTGCTCCAGCAACAGCCGGGGAGACGGCTGTCAGATCTAATAACCAGTGGCCATGATTACATAAACTCAGACCTTGTATGATAAAACATTTAAGTACTGCTTTTATACAAAATAAAATAATTGTCAAAGAGGACAAGATACCTTGTTCCAAAACAATTGCTAACTTGTCGCCCAGTAACAGTCCAGTTACAAATTGTCCTTGACGAGATCTTGTCTCTTTAATACCTTGACAACTCAATTTCAAGATATGGTAACAAAAAAGGCTTCTGGAAGAATCACCAGCCCTGCCATTAACACTGTGGAAAGGTTTCAGGTTTATATTGCAAACATTTTGCCTGCACATTAAGAAGCCACAGGATGACACAGGTAAGTAAATAAAAAATAAGATCAGCATCAAGAACAACAGTATTTTGAACAGAGTTCAGGCTGCCATGGTGTGAAGCTGCATCCCCTCATCTCCTCTTCTTCAGCCCCCACCTCCTCCTCCTATAATTGGCAGCCTGGATGGGTAGACAGTAGATGTGCATGGGAAATGCCCTGAAGTAGCTGCTGGCCCAGGATCTGTGGGAGATGATGAGACAAAGTTGTATCACTGATCCAAACAGAAATGGTAGACAGAAAGATTGCAGTTCTTTTTACTCATCATGTGAGAAAGGTGAGCGAACGTACGGCTGAAATATTGTTTGACTTTGTAGATCAAAGTTGAGCAAGTGATTCACTGGTTTTGCTTTTTGTTTCTGGAGAAATGGAATAAATGATATCTTCTTTTCTCAGTGTACTGAATAGAAGATGGGAGGCGATGGGGTGACAAGACACATCACCTCTCATGGTTTCACTGTCATACAACGTTAATTTTGGGCCCTGAGCCTGATTTAATTTAGTCTTTCTGCTCAGTCGCCATGTGCCGTTTGTGTGACTGTCAGATGTGTTTGAAAGTTGTCGACTGAAGCCTTGAACCTTCCGTCAGATGCTGTGTGAAGCATACCGAGACCTTTAGTGTTGGAGTTTTTGCGTGTATGTACTTGGCAACACGCTGACTCAGACTCAGGAAACACAGGTCTTGCCGTAGCTGCTTGTTCTCCTGCTGACGGAGGAATTCAGCTTCTTGCAGTCGCTCAAAATCCAGATGCAGAGACGCCCGAAGGTTGGCCTCGATAAGACTCAACTGGAAAACACATTTAGATTTTATTTAATGTCCCAGTTTTGCCTCAAACAAGTCACAAACCTAGTGACAAAATATAAAAATAAAACAAAAAAAAAAGGTGGTGGAGGTGCAATATTTCATTTTTTTGTCCATTTGAAAATAAATGCTGATTTAAAAAAAAAGGAAAACCATGCATCTAATTAAATTGTGGATGCTAAATTTGCTATTGCTAACAATTTTGAGGTTGCACTTCAGGGCCACCGTAATATTTTCATATCTGGTCAATAGGTAAAATTCATTAATCATGACACATACACATTATGATTCAAATCTCTTGTGTACATATATCTGAAGCTTCATTTTTAAAAAATCCTGCAACCAGATATGATCCCCAGTTATTTGCCCTATGAAATAAGCAAGTGTTTCCTTCTAAGGTCCAGCTTCACCCACACCTCCTGTTCGACAGCTGCACCAGTGGGAGTGTGTTCCTGTGACTGTTACCTCCTCCAGCAGAGTCCTGTGACCTTCCAGCGTCTGCTGCTCCTCGAACAGAGCCAGAGGTGTCAGGTGTCTCGCTTCCTGCCTCTGTGCCTCATCCACACCTGGGTCACCCGCTCTACCTGGCAGGTGCTGCTGCAGGGCGATTGGAGGCAGGAAGCAGCCACTGAGAGAGAGAGGAATTCATACGTCACTTCATCAGGTTGTTGTCTTGTCGAGCTACGCCTGTGCTGTGCTGAGTAACAGAGCTAACACACACACACAAACACACACACACATTGTAAACCGGCTTCCATTCAGATTTATTTACAGTCGGGACTGATCCTGTAACGTATCCCTCTGCCAAGGTCACGCTTCAGCAGAGAGGATCACAGTGTTATCAGACTGTCTCCAGTTCCTCTGCAGACAGAAGCAAAGTTTCCATCCAGGTTTTTAGGTCAAATTCCATTCAAATTCTACATTTAAGTGCTGGAAACTTCTGAACTGTCAGACCTCAGATCCAGGAGGGGTGAGGTCATGGATGTTTGACCTTCCAGACTACGCGTGTTTTTGGGGACAGCCAGTCACCAAGAAGGCACAGCAGAGGATGTACTTCCTGCTCCAGATCAGGAAGTTGGACCTGCCCCAGGAGCTGCCGA